GTCAATGGTGAGGCTTGGATGGATTTCTTCTCAAATGTTTATCATTTAAGAGAGGCGCCGGCAAGCTTTACCTTAAGGTGTTTTGGTTGGAGCGTAAGAAAGGGAGGTGGGCGGCGGCCGCCGGGGCTCGGGTTGGAGTGGGAATTCACTATTAAAATCAGGGATACAATTGTCAGTTTGGTATAGTTTAGGGCAAAAACTTTTAAATTTTAGGGCGACAAATAGCGATTAGAATAATTAAATATTAAATATATTAACTCACAAGTTTATTGCACTGTTGCATATGACAAAATAGGGGAAGCCGAAAACAATTACCCAATATATTAACTCGGGGTATTGTTCACAATAAAGGGAATTTTATTATGTTGTCCGTTCCATGATATGTGAGCCTGGGGAGACAAAGGAAAAAAAGTCATGGGAAGTTTGTTAGAATATAAATGGTAGTCATATGTTGATATAATCCACGTGTATAGTACATCAATTCTCATAAAATATATTAAATTAAATATTGTTCGAATTATCAATTTAACTCATAAAATATGGATATCAAATATTTTATAAGGATTTTATACGTGTTTAGTGTAGGACCCATCAAATGGAACGATTTGACAACAATACAGAAATTAGAGTTTTAAACACATAAAATACGTATGTCATATATACACATATTAAACGGGGTATTTACTAACTATATGTAGTATAACCTGATACATAACATAACTATAGTAACTTTATTTTCTTTTATAGGAGATCATTCCCAGAATTAACATAAGTCTATAGTCCCTAATTACTATGACTTTCAACTTAATCATAGTGACGGGTGAGTTCAAGATACAATCTGAGAAGCCATGTTTATAAGTGACAGCTTAATCATAAATGTATGTGTTTGTATTACACACGGGTTACGGAATGTTAGTTATTATTTTTACATGACATTATCGTCTCATCGATTTGCATCAAACAAAGGCTCAATAAGATCAATTAATTTTTACACAACAGTTTAATCATATGTGATATTTTCTGTGACTTGATTTTATTATTAAACCACAAATTATGAAATATTTATGTAATATCGTTGTATAATAGTCACGTGAGTTACAAATACATAACTTAAATCTTATGGTGTAGTTATTTCTTATGTATCAATTAAATAAAGGTGTTATGTAAGTCTCCAATAAGGATTAGAACACTACGTAAAGGCATATAGATAGTTGTTCAGTATATATGTCAATTAAACAAAAACTATTACGTAATATAAGTTTAGAGGAAAATTATTTTATTATTAACTATACTATAGACCATCTCATCAATTTGTATTACACGAGATTCTGTAAATTCTTTTTTTTTTATACGTAACCTTTAATCAAATGTGATACTTTTCAATCTTCATAACTTCATTTTTTGTTAATAACTACAATATTATTCATTCAATATATTTGCATTATGCATATGTCCCGTAATGTCATGTTTAACGTCAGTAACTTTATTTTATTATTAGGTCACACATTATAACAGATTTGTGTGGCACCATTCTATAACATTTATATAAATTATGTTACATAAATATTTCGTAATCATTAAGAAACTACGTAAAATTTATGAAGGTATATCCCTGAAAGATTTTGTAAAAATTATTTGATTTTAACTAAATTATCGAATGAAATTATAATTAATAAGGTTATGGATAGATAGTTGTTCATTATATATGTCAATTAAAAAACAAAAATTACGTAATATAAATTTAAAGGAAAATTATTTTATTATTAACTAAATTATGGACCATCTCATTAATTTGCATTTCACGAGATTTTGTAAAGTCTTATTTTTTATGTAAATCAAATGTGATACTTTCAATTTTCATAACCTAATTTCACTGTTTAGAACTACAATATTATTCAATTAATCAATTCGCATTATGCATATGTAATGTCAGTTTATCTTTTATATAATAGTTTAATTAAATGTGAGAATTTCAGAGCATTATGCATATGTAACATTTACATAAATTATGCATATGTAATGTCAGTTTATTATTAGGTCACATATTATGAAGATTTGTGTGGCACCGTTATATAACATTTACATAAATTATGTTACAAAAATATTTTGTAATGATTAGCACACTATGTAAAGTTTAACTAATTTATTTGATTTTGTTAAACTAAATTATCGAATGAAATTATAATTATAACTAGTACATTACCGATGCGAAGTGCGGGTCAAAAAACTAGTAACAGTAAATTACTAGGATATATCGGCGACAACTATTGGGACGTCATTTGACGTTCTCGTTTTGTTATAGTGCCATTCTTGTAATTTACCACTAATTACCCTAGGCTAGCTCGTTGCATTGGGTATTAGTAGGCGAGAGGTATTGTAACCTGTAACCTATGCGGCCTTGATTTCTATTCGGCCAGAGTCTAGTGAAAACCCTATCTCGAGCTCTGCTCGCCGTGGACTAGTCCCGTTCATCGGGTAAACCACGTAAACCTCCTCTTCTTCTCTTATTTCCGCACTATCAAATTTTACATGGTATCAGAGCAGTGATCGTTCCAGACCATATAACGATTTCTGCAGTCATGGGAAACGACGACAAATCTGACGGCTCGAGTGACAGCAAAGCAGCTCTCAGGCAGTGGCACGTCAATTCCCCTCTCGTCGCCGCTTTTCCTTCACCCATCCGAGAACCCTGGACAATTATTTGGTGGTGACCTCCTCACGGATTCGAACTATGGTGAATGGGTTAACGATATGATCGAAGCCCTAACAGCCAAGAACAAGCTACTATTTGTCAATGGCGCGCTACCTCGCACGGCTGGTGGTGATGCTTTGCGTCTTGATGTCTGTGACTGTTGTGATGCAATGGTGAAAGGATGGCTAAAGACGGCTATGACCAAAGAAATACGCAACAGCGTGCGCGGAGTGAAGATGACCCGCGAAATCTGGCTTGACTTACGTCAACAATTTGGCGTTGGGTCTGCAGCGCGCGCTTATGAACTGCGCAGGAACATTGTTGGCCTTCACCAAGATAAGTTGTCTGTTTCTGCCTTTTATACACAGTTACATACCTATTGGGATGAGCTCCAAACTGTCAGTGTGAACCCGCATTGCAGGCAGCTGCGGAGGTTGTACTTGTGATGTGGCTCGGCAGGCACGTGAGAAGTCAGAAACGGAGCGCCCTTTTGACTTTCTCTTGGGGTTGGGCGATTCCGTTGCTGTTGTACGTACTCAAATCTTGAGTACCAAACCGTTGTCGTCTCTCGCAGAGGCGTACCAGCTTGTGGCGGGCGACGAACAGCAACAACAATTAACTGCTGGGTGAAGGCCTTCAGTAGAGGCGGCTGCCTTTCAAGCCCGGGAAGAGAAGTCGACTGTTTCGTCGGAGCCGGTTCGTTGCTCGTACTGCCGCAAGCTCGGACACACAAAGGAAATGTGCTACCGCCTAATTGGCTTTCCTTCTGACTCAAAGAAAGGGAAGCAAGGCGGGCGCTCTCCCTCCACGCGCAAGCAGCCTAGTGAGTCCACACCACGGGCAGCACATGTTGATAATGAAGCAAGCCCCATACCGGGTCTCACGACAGCGCAGTTTGAGAATTTAAAACAATTCTTCAATGCTCCTGTACCAGGCTCTCCCGACCCTACTGCTCACATGGCTGCTAATGGTTCTGACCTTTACGAATGGCTTATTAATTCGGGATGTAATGAACACATCGTTAGAGATTCTAGTTGGCTTGATAGCTTGGATAGTAGTGGGAAGCACTCTCCCGTTCGTATTCCCAATGGTCGTTGTGTTCCGGTAGCAAGACTGGCAACTGTTGTCCTGAATGATCGTCTCACTCTTCGTCGTGTTCTTCATGTGCCCGAGTTTAAGTGCAACCTCCTGTCTGTTAGTCGTCTTACACATGATCATGATGTTGCTTTATTATTCTTGGCTGGTGTTTGTATTATCCAGGACTTATGTTCCAGGACAGTGATTGGTATGGGGATACTCCGTGACGGGATTTACTACCTGGATCGTGGCAGTGTGGACACGTCCACCAGGAGCCAAGGGGGCAATGCTTTTGCTGTGGCTGGGCAAGATGACTCCATTGTTTGGCATCATAGGCTGGGCCACCCATACTTTGAGAAACTTTCTTTGTTGAGCGATGCGCTTAGTTCCAATAAGCTTTCTTTTTCACAAACCCACTGTGATCCATGTTGGAGAGCTAAACAAACACGGGCTGTTTTCCCTTCCAGTACTATTTCGACACTCGGCTGTTTTGATTTAATTCACGTGGATATTTGGGGTGGCTATAAGACCCCTTCTTTGGATGGTTCACGGTTTTTCTTAACAGTGGTTGATGATTTCAGTCGGGCAACTTGGGTGTATTTGTTGAAATACAAGTCCAATATTGAGAAATGTCTTCTATCATTCTGTGCGATGGTGACCACTCAATTTAATCGGCAAGTTCGATGGATCCAGGCTGATAATGGGATGGAATTTCATACTCATTCACTGCGAGCGTATTATGCAGATAATGGCTTCTACTTCAGACATCTTGTGTTAAACTCCGCAGCAAAATGGGGTCATCGAGCGGAAACATCGACATCTCTTGGATACCGCCCGTGCACTCCGCTTCCAGGCAGGTCTCCCTATTCATTTCTGGGGTGAGTGTGTCCTGACAGCCACTTATTTGATCAACCGCCTTCCTTCCTCAGTTCTTGCGAATAAAACACCGTTCGAGGTCCTTCTTGGATGTCACCCCACTTATACCCATTTGTGTACCTTTGGATGTTTGGCTTATGCCAAGGACACCAGCGCGGGATTGGATAAATTTGCAGAACGAGGGCGGCGGTGTGTCTTTGTTGGTTACCCTTCTTCACAAAAGGGATATCGGGTCTATGATCTTCATCTTCGGCAGAATTATACTTCGCGCGACGTTCACTTTGTTGAACATGAGTTTCCTTTCCGTCTCTCTTCTCCGTCACAACCTGCCACCCGCGAGGCGCCTCCATCTCCCATGCCATGTCTTGATGGGGAGCTCTACCCCTTGGTTGATCATCATGCTCACACTATTGATGATCTTGAGGAAAGCTTTGACATCGGCGATGCCACTTCCTCTCCTTTGCGCGATAGCTTGCTCACCGAGCCCGTGTCCCCTCTTGTTGTGACTGGCGAAAGTGATGTCCCCGATGGTTCCGCCGGCGATCTTACTGCTCCTCCCTCACTTCACTCGCCGGTTCCCAGCAGCTCCGACCCACGGCCCGCGTCTCCTCCTCCTTGGCGCGACGCGACGATCGTATTCGTCGGCCGCCCTCCAAGCTCGACATTTATGATGTTGAGCTCTCGGGTTCCTCCGCTTCGACATCAGCTACGTTTTCCATCTCCAACCATGTCTCTTATCATCGCTTTTCTTACTCTCACCGTGCTTTTTTGACTGCCATTGCACAGGTTGTGGAACCTTCTCATTTCCGTGATGTTGTGCAGCATGCATGTTGGCGCGAAGCAATGAATAAAGAGATCATGGCCTTGGACTTTGGAATTTATGCCCCCCCGGGAAGCGTGCCATAGACTCGAAGTGGGTTTACAAGATTAAGTACCATCCAGATGGGTCAGTTGAACAATACAAGGCTCGGCTTGTTGCTAAGGGCTTTACGCAGGTCGAGGGGTTGATTTTCATGATACATTTGCCCCTGTGGCAAAGTTGGTTACTGTTCGTGTTCTTATCGTCGTTGCCGTCAGTAAGGTTTGGCCACTTCATGAGTTGGACATCAACAACGTCTTCCTTCATGGCGACCTCCAAGAAGAGGTGTATATGAAAGTCCCTCTCGGTTTTGCTCAACCTGGTGATACTCGAGTTTGTCGTCTCCGTAAGTCCCTTTATGGATTGCGTCAAGCCTTCAGGAACTGGTACAACAAGTTCACTCTTGCCCTTGCTGAACTCGGTTTTTCTCCCTCATGTGTGGATCATTCTCTGTTGTTGTACCGCCGTGGGACGTCATTTGTTGCAACCCTTATTTATGTGGATGATGTGGTTCTCACCGATAACGATGCACCATTCATCACTCGTGTTAACTCGTTTCTGCATGACCAGTTTAGCATCAAAGATCTCGGTCCTTTGAAGTACTTTCTGGGTATCAAGGTAGCACGTTCTCCTGCTAGTGTAGTTCTCAGTCAGCGCAAGTACGCACTGGATATTCTTAGTGATGCAGGTGTCACTGCCGCCCGGCCCAGTCTATTTCCCATGGAACAGAATCACACACTCACTCGTCCTGGCGCGGTTACGGATGATGTTGTTGATGTCCGTTCCTACCGTCAATTAGTGGGTCGTTTGTTGTACCTCACGGTTACCCGGCCAGACATCACGTACGCAGTTAATATCCCGAGCCGGTTCGTTCATGCCCCTCGCCCTGAACATGTGACAGTCGCGCAGTGCGTCCTCCGGTACCTTAAAAACTCTCCAGGTCAAGGCCTTTTCTTCCCTTCTAGTGGTTCTTTGACCGTGACTGCTTATTGCGATGCCGATTGGGGTGGTTGTCAAATCACACGACGATCCACTACGGGTTACTATATCCAGTTGGGTGTTGCTCCTGTTTCCTGGCGTACTAAAAAGCAGCGTGTTGTTGCTCGTTCTTCTGCCGAGGCCGAATACCGGGCCATGGCTAGTGCTGTTAGCGAGGTCATCTGGCTCTGTTTTCTTCTCACTAAGTTGGGCGTTCCCCAGCCTGCTGCCACTCTCCTACATTGTGACAATCAGGCTGCACTCCACATCGAGGCTAATCCTGTTTTCCACGAGCGTACCAAACACGTGGAAATGGACTGTCATTTTGTTCGTGAACGCGTTGTCACTGGTGCCATTGCTCCCCTGAAGATCAGTTCTACTTCTCGGTTAGCGGACCTGTTCACTAAAGCCTTGGGCGCCGATCAGTTTCATTCACTCTTGTCCAAGCTGGGCATTTGTGACCTTCATGCCTCCGCTTGAGGGGGAGTATTGGGACGTCATTTGACGTTCCCGTTTTGTTATAGTACCATTCTTGTAATTTACCACTAATTACCCTAGGTTAGCACGTTGCATTGTGTATTAGTAGGCGAGAGGTATTTTAACCTGTAACCTATGCGGCCTTGATTTCTATTCGGCCAGAGTCTAGTGAAAACCCTATCTCGAGCTCTGCTCGCCGTGGATTAGTCCCGTTCATCGGGGAAACCACGTAAACCTCTTCTTCTTCTCTTATTTCCGCACTATCAAATTTTACAACAACAACTACTATAGTCAGTTCTTGCGTCCTTTGCTCAAGAGGTCGGTGGAAATCCATTTTATAGTTTAGAAATTTCATATTCTCAAGAGTTAACAGGTCCAAATTTTTTATTTAGGGGATGCCTTCTTTCAAAAATTAAAAATTAATAATAAAATATCCGACTAGTACAAGTTACTACAAAGTATCACTCAATATTTTCATAGTTTGAAAATTGTAAAATACACTTAGTGTTTACATTGTTTAACAATCTCCTTCAATATGTAATACTAGACAATCATTCACGAACTGATCGCCTATTCGATTCCTAAGTTTGTTCTTGATGTAATCCAAAATTGAAAAGCATCACTTATAGTTGTACCCGATTAAATCGGTACAAGTTTGAGAAGCAAATAGACCCATGAATATGATAGATGTCCTTTAGTTTCCATCATCAATTAAGCTAATTCATCAAGGAAAATCCAATAAAAGTGGATTTTGTAGGAATGGGGAGTGGAGGCCCCGCTGTCACTCATGTGACATGTAGGCCGCTTATGTTCCTGGGTTATAAAAAAAAAAAAAAAAAAGAAGCTCGTGTTTCCTTTTCATCGTGTATGATAAGGGTATTCGATTAAAGTTTAAGTGTTAGGGTTTGAAAGAAAAAATAAGGAAATTAGAGTGTGATTTGTTTTTAATTTTAGATTATAATTTTATTATGTTAAATTATTACAATAAACGAATTATAGTATAATGGTAACCAATGTCACTGATAACATCAATAACATTGTTTCAAATCAAAGAACTACTGGTTGTAGCTTACTGCATAATCAGCATCCCCACCCCCCTTTCCAGTTTTAACGAATTGGTAGAAGGATTGAAATACTGTGCAGCTGTGATCTAAACTTCTTTTTGCGGATACGAACGAAAGTTTCTTCCATTTAGATTTGAAGCTACGTCCATGAAGAGAGCATCCATGAACACAAATGCTCCAGATAATCCAAAACAATGCACATGTCTGGAGGATCTTTCCGGAAGTAGCTACTGAAAAAAATGCTGATATAACGAGCAGAGAGGTCCAAATTTGACAGATTGCATCGAGTTAAAACTGAATGTTTGAAGATACAAGTGAGTAGCTGGAGCCTGGAAGAGTATGTATTTGAATGGAAAAATCAAGTATTCAATTTTCCAATCACAAAAGGGCAGTGGGGAAGAATCATGTTTCAAGTATTCCAATCAGAAGAGCCTTGTTCATTGAAACTCAGACTTGGGATGAGACCTCTTCTTCGGATGGAGCTTTACTTTCAGTCACAAGCTTCTTGTTCTTCCCTGAAGTGGCATTGTTACCAGCCAAGAGTAGCCTGACCTGCATCAAGTCTAGCACCCTAGATTGTAAGTGCTTGTTCATTTCCATTACGTGGTTCGTCATTTGCGTTGCCCACATCCGCTGCCCCATGATCGTCTCTATCTTCATTTGCATGGTTGGTGTTTGTTCTTGCTGTTCACATCCCGGAACACACAAAAAGAAAACAAATGAGAGATTCTTTACTACTGCTGCAACAAAAGACCGATATAAGAATATAAAACCTGGTGGTATTAGCATATAGAGGAGGCAGTAAAGTAAGGGAGCTCTTTGGTCGTCTAAGTTAAGCAATTGTCAGAAAGTATGCTAAGGTTGACAAAGGTGAAGACCTCCATCTCGAATATTTGATGGTCCAGAGAACTTTGGAAATCATTTGGGTATAAGCAGCATGAGGGAGGGAGGGCAATCACTCCTTCAGATGGACTAGCCTGCTGAGTACACTTGTCCAGCGAAGAAAAACAAAACTGACTTGAATTCTTTTCGTGACTACTTGATGGTGATGTAAATAGCTCTGAACAATGTGGAACCACGACAAGATTAGTAGCCGGTCCTGTTTACAGATGGAACAACAGGTTACCAGCTTGATTTGACAGCTGATGGAACATGGGCCAACGAATAACTGGAAACTTTTAGCATGAGGTTGATGGTAGAACCAAAAGATGCATGAACAAGAATATATCAAAGAGTCTACAATTAAAGGAAGAAGGAAAGGTATTATGTGATTAATTGAACATAACACGGGATAGAAATGGAAGAGATTAGGGAAACATACTTAAAGCAGGCACAAATACATGTAAAACAATATGCTGGAATCCATAAAAAAATCCAGTCACACAGTTTCAGCAGAGATTACCTTTCTGATGGTCAATTCTCCAAACAATCACCTGAGAAATTATATCCCAGAGGCAGACAGTGCTATCTGTTGATGCAGATATCAACCCGTATTTGCTAAAGGTCAATGCCGTTATGGACCCACTGAAATCAAAAGTAAATACTGTGAAGCCCTTTTCTTTCAATTAGGTAAGTTACTGTCGGAACCATGCAGCAAAATGAACGATGAGACTGTATCAGATCTTTACTAAGGTCCACGCCAAATAGTAACTCAGGAAAATCAGTGAGTTAATAGCAACTCAGGAAAGTCAGTCAATCGCGACCATGAGACAAGTACCTCGTGAAATTTAAAAGTTTAATTATGCAACAAACAAATCACACTGTCTAAAGCAGTGAACGTTGCTTCAAAAGATAAAGGTATAAAGTTTATTAGTGAAAGTAGTCATTTTCATATTAACCTAGTTCTCATGCAAGCATTGGAGATGCATGTCTTTACTTGATTCAGGAAAAAAATTCGCAATCATACATTGTGCATTACTTTTGTCCTTTCAGCACACCCTGCTGATCTTCTACACCAGCAATAGGTTCATCTACAAGTCCAAGATCAAGACCACTGACAAATATTCTTCCATCTGTGCTCCCACAGAAAATAAGTTGCTCGGTTGGATGCAGGGTAGCTGCAGTTATACCAGTCGGATACACTCGCGTTTGTATCAGTCTACGGGAGACTAGGTCCCACACCTGTAGAAAGAATCAAAACCTTTTGATTTCTGCAAGAAGAGCTTCAATCTAGACCATTTGTTAAATAAACCCGATATATCAACCTTGCAAGTGGAATCCAGGGAAGTAGATATAAAGCACGAGTTGGAAATGCCTGATGTAGATAACAGAGAAGTTATCGAGGATTTATGCTCCATTGAAAAGTGCAACAGCGAGGATGAGATTGCAACATCTTCCACGTCTAGCAAGCTTGAAGAGAAATTGTTACTAGAACAAGCTTGTTATATGTAAATACAGTGAAGTATAAGTGATTCAATTCTTCACAATCGTAAGAAGAATCCAGCAGCAAAATGTTTCAGCTTACCCAATTACTGACCATGCATTAATCATCCCATCATCCGATCCAGATATAAGAATGGAATCATCATTAGAGAAAGCAATGCACTTCAAGGATTTATGATGGGCTCGCCAAGTTTTCAGCAACCTTCCACTAGTCACCTACAGGTGCCGCAAGTTAAGTAGATAGGGTATTCCATTCGATTCCATGTCCATCTCCACAATCAGAAGTGGTTACTAAAACTAAATAATGGAATTGTGGTTCGCCACTAACCTCCCATAGATAGGCATTTCCTGAAAAGGCACCGCCGACCAGATACATCCCATTAAAGGTGCTGGCAAGTGGCCCTATGGCTTCAATTGGGTAGCTCCGTATCGGCGACTGGGGCTAAAATCATCAAAACATAAACCAACCAACAATACTTTTACGAATTCAGAACCCACAATATCTTGTCCGGCTCCCTCGACCATAAGCCGGCTTACAAAAGGAAGGACAACACAGTGGTTGATCTCTTCTCTGGGGAATTTCATCGAACACCACATGCCCAGAAACGAAGTTAAAAAAAAAAAAAACAAAGCCGCACGCCAAGAACTTACCTTTTTCAAATGCCAGGCGAAAATTGCCCCGCAACCAACGGAGCCATGCCTGTTGGCCTGAGAAGCGACGAGAACCTGACCTCTCAAGCACAGCAGACCATGAGTAGGAGAAGCGCAAGTCGGGATGTGAAGAAGGCAATTTCCCGAGTCCAAGTCCCAGAGGTTGATTCCCGCTCCCATGTTCCTGTCGCCGCAGACCACCAAGGCCTCGGCCTCCCGCGACTTGGATTCTCCCTTCCCGCCCACCATCAATTCCTTTCTCCGGACAGCACGGGCTGTTGAGGGAATGTATGTTTTATATACGTAAAAGCAATTTATTAGTTTGTTGAGGGGAATAGAATATACAGTGTAGTTGGGATGTGTGGAAGAAGCTGCTGCTAGCGCATGGCGAATGGCGTGACGACTGCCGGAAAGCGACAAAGGTTGTTGGGGATTCTGCTAAGGAAATGGGATTATTAGAGACTAACAGAAGAACACCTAAACATTCTGAAAACAAATTCCACGGAGAGCGCAGGAGTTATCACAGTAAGCAATCAGTTTCTCACCAAAAGAAAGATTGATTGCATACTAAAAAGCTAAAGCACGCTTTACTATATCAGCATAGTTTTGGGTTGAGGAAATTTTACATAGGTGATCCACTTCTAAAATTAAATTAAAATATTGGCTCGCTCTAACTACGACTTTCCAATCGAAGCCATGTATAAGAAATTGTAACATAAGGTAGTGCAAGTAATAAAAATATCGAATCACGGGTCTATGGATGTACATTACTTCGACTTAGATATCTTTATCTAGCAAAACAAGAATAGTTCATAGAGAGGAGAGAAGAGAGAAGAGGTTTGTCACAAGCATAAACAAACAATTCAAAATCTAGAACTAGGGTTCATCAACCTAAGTGAAGAGATCTAGTTCATAGAGAGGAGAGATTGCAATACAAAGTTCAAATTCTTCCATCTTCTTCTAGGGGTTGATTTTCAAGCTTCAATGGTGGTTGGCACTTCCAAATCAGCTCCAAGAGCCCTCCTAAACATCTCTCTCTCTCTCTCTCTCTCTCTCTCTCTCTCTCTCTCTCTCTCTCTCTCTAGAAATGCTTCTTTAGTGTTTTTGGTCAAAACCCTAAGGAAAACCAAGTTCTCCCAAAAACCCAGCTCTCACTTCTTTCTCCCACAACTACCTTTTTTATACTACCTGAGTGCCAATTTCACAGGTCAAAGATCACTGTTGAGATCTCAACACCTTGGTCGTGATCTCAACCAAAGGCGTTGCGTTTTGCGTTGAACTTCACGACCTCATTGTAAAGATCACGGGCTACGACAGTGATCTCTACAGACTACAATGTTCGTGAAACGCCCGAAGATCTCTAGAACCTTGCCGATTTCATGGTCTGCTAGCCAAGTTCACGGCTTGCGGTCGTGATCTTCACCTCCAGCCCATGAACTTCGCCTATTCTTCACCCTTTGGCTCGTTTCGACCTCCAAATGTCCTGAAACTCATCCCTGACCTTCCAACACGAATTGGGACCTGAATGTGACAAAAGAAGCACAACCCAGAGTAAAATAGGTCAAGGAATGACAATTACCAAGTAAAACACTCAAGATATGAAGGGCTAAAACATGTACAAATACACCCGAATCAAACTCCCTCACACTTGAACGTTTGCTTGTCCCCAAGCAAACTAACTCATACAAGTGCTCAAATGCAAGAAACTTACAATGGTATGCACTATAGGATGGAGACCTTGTCGACTATGGAGGTTTAGACATTTGATGCATGCACCAGGAGACTCTCAGGAAAACACAAAAAGCAAAGGACTCCTTGGTGGTGCTCCTACTTTCGTTTTCAAAAGAGGACTCAAATTATCGAGTCTCAACTTAAACTTGGCCTCACATGGCACCACCCTTTTGCAATTTTTCAAATTAACACATCTTTCCCTTATGATCAAGAGCAAAGATGGTCGGATTTGACTCGAGGAAGATGCCTCACTATGGTTTTCCGGAAACTTTTCTGTCCAAGCCTGATTTACAAGGCCCCTGTCGAGTCTCTCCTTCACACCGTTCCGAAACCAAGTGAATTGTGGTCCAACGTATCCCAAGTCCATCAGCTCCGAGTCATGGATACAGTCTTTCAAGTCCCTGGCTCGATTGGAATCAAAGGGTGCCCCTCCCGCCTTTTTCAGATGGGTGTAAGATAGAATTGAAGTCGCCCGTCAACACCCATGGAAGGTCAATGTCACCTTCCCATTCTCAGCCCCATACGGGGAACATGATGGTCAGATTCATTGCCTGAGCACTACTTCCAAACCTGCACTCCTCGCCCCATATGAGTTTGTGAGGAGGAGAGATGTATGCGGTTGGAAAGTAGTGAAAGATGATTGGGACGCTAGAAAGCTATCTAATTCCCAAACACATCCTCAAATGGCACTCAGACCGAGAGAAAGGCCCTTCGACGGCTTAACTCAAACACTATGCTCGGTTTCGTCTCACGTGAGAACCTAAATTTTTTTCAAAAGATTTTTTTTTCAAATTGGAGCACCTTTTACAAAACTTTTGGGAGTCCAACATTTTAGGAGAGAGTCCCGCACACATGTCCTAACCTCGATGGTAAACTTTATCAACACATCCAAGATAAAAAAAATTGTAGCGTCACACTACTCCCTATAATGCACACCATCATAACATCGGGTCAATTCCATAAATATTGTTTTTTATTTTATAATATCATTAACGTTTTAAAAACTATTTACTTAGATATTGTGTTTTGAAGGTAAGCTCAAGCGGATCCGCCTAAGCTCACTTTCATTTATAAGTGAATCGGACCCGCGTGAGGAATGGAAATAATGTATCCAGCCTGCGCGTGAACGCATGGTGAGATGATGGAACTTGGGTGTATAATTATATGAGGACCATTTAACTTTGCATGGGTAATTATAGGTGGGATATGTTTGATGCATCATGGTTTACATGAGTGAGATTTATTAGTTATATTTCATAGCTTTTTTTTTTGGGTTATTGAATTAGGTACTTTGTAGTATTTTAGGTTTATGGTCGTATGTATTTTATCTGTTTAAAATTATCGTATTTGTATTATTGTTAACTTGTTTCAAATTTTTTGCTCGTTTGGTGCCTCTCATACTAAACATGTACAAAACACGTATCACATGTTTAATATCCGTATTTAATGGATTAAATTGCTAATTTAACTATTATTTATTTTATAACTATTGACGTACATTTAAACAAACCATAGTGTTGAGAAGAATTAAAATATATGTACGTATTTTATAAGCAATACTTCATAATCATATGCGTGATAAAATGGATGCAAGGCATCTCAACTTTCATTCACAACCAAACAGAGCTCAGAGAGCCCTTGACAGTCATACAAAATAAAATGGTGAAGAACAGGATCCAAAACTGAAACCCTATGAAAACCCAAAGGTAAAGAATGACAAAGACTAGCAAGATGGTCTGCACACATTAAACACGGATATTGAAAGTGTTATACTTTATACATGTTTAGTATAGATGGCATCAAATGAAAGTGTAAAACTTGAAACAGGTTGACAACAATATGAATATAGAAGTTGTAAACGAATAAAATATGTACGAAATATATACGTATATTAAACAAAGTTTTTACTAACTATGTTAAATAGTAAAACCCCACCCCCTTATCAAAATAATTCAAACTACCTAATTCAATAAGCTATGTAATATGGTATAATATATACCCCATATATGGAGGCTTCTACGGTACCCCAGGTGAAATCCAGGGTACCGCATACCTTGAATACGAAAACGCTATCTAGACCTCAAATTAACAGAATTTTTGGGCATGATACTATACCCTAACTCTTAATGAGTGAAGCCTAGGTCCTAATTATCTAAATCATAAACTATTAACCCTAAGATGGTGCATTGATTTTTTTGCTTATATTTGGACGAATCATAACCGTCGATTATTGTTTCTAATTAAATTGATCTTGGGGTATAAGATTTAGAGAATTAAGACCTATATTTTGATCCTTAAGGGTTAGAGTATCGTATCATGTCCGAAAGATCAGTCAATTGAATTTCTGGATAGAGTTTTCTTACACAAAGTATGCGGTACCCCGGATTTCACCCTAAGTACCATAGAACTCCCCATATGTAACCATAAATATAATATATAAGCTATGTAATATAACTAATAAATCCTACTCATGCAAACCATGATGAAACAAACATATCCTACCTATAATTACCCATGCAAAGTTAAATGGTCCTCATATAATTAAACATCCAAGTTCCATCAGCTCACCGTGTACATTCCTTTCCATTCCTCACGCGGGTCCGCTTCACTTATAGATAAAAGTGAGCTCATGTGGATCCTCTTGAGCTTACCTTCAAAACACAATATCTATGTGAATAGTTTTTTAAACATTATATTTGTGGTAAAATTTTTAAACAAAAACAATTCAAAGTACAGTGAGTAGGTACATGCAATGGAATTACTACAGGAAAACGGGTTCCTAGTCGTCATTAAAAAGTACGCTAATTATCACAGTAAAATTTCCAGTAATTAGTTATATAATTCTAGTCAAAACGGGAATTGATTCATCTGATTTTTAGTATTCATTCCCGTTAATAATGATAATCATCATTAATTACCGTAAACAATGCAAAAATTTTCTTTGAAAAAACTATCTCCAAATTTTGGAGGAAGAATTTTTTCATTTCAAAATTTCATTTGCCCCTAAAGTTTTCTCATTCCAAAATCTTTACCTCCAAAGATTTCCCCCCAACAAAAGGTGAAATGAAAACTTTTTGCTCCTAAACTTTCCCACCAAAAATTTTCCCTCCTACTAAAACAGTGAAATGAAAAAAACTTGGCCATCCACGAAAAGCCCTACCCGGTTATATGCCTATCACACTGTATCCCCTCCATATTCCTAAATCCTAACCCTAAAATTGCGATTTGCTAAAAAAAAGATAGCTTACACACTCTTCGCTCGCCTCCTCACTCTCCCCTCCGGCCTCCACTCGTCAATTGCGGCCGCTTCTCTCCCAGATTTCCAAGAATCTCATCTCCCAACTCCTCATTCCCATGAACCATTCAAACACATCCTCTCCACTTCAACCATCTCCCCACCATTATCGTCGATTGCGGCAATTTGCAGGCAACAACCCTATCCCCATTTCGGCACCCAGATCAAACTCTCTTTCCAACCCTACCGACGACTGTCATTGGCATCTGCTTCTAAAATCGAA